CTTTGATTGATTGATTGATTGATTAATTGATTAATCGATCGATTGAGTGATTGATTGATCATTGTAAAAAACAAATTAACAAAAATGCGCAGACACACACACACACACACCCAGTCATGTTTCTTTTGAGTGCATAGCGAATATGACAGCACACACACACACGCACACACACACACACACACACACACACACACACACACACACACACAATCAGTTTTAGGTATGCTTGTTTTTCCTCTTTCTCCTATTTTTTCTAAGTGCTTTTTGTGTCTCTAGCCSAGCACCCTCTAGCAGTGCCAAACAGTCGGTGGTTCCTCGTTTGGAGTGCCTACTGCACTCTTAGGGGGGGCGCTCGGTTCGGGATGTCTGTGTTGCCTGTCGGTGATGACGAATGGTCGTCGGAGTGTCCCCTTGACTCAGCGGGTGGTGGGAACCAACAGTCTGCGGGGTTCTATCGTGATGTGAGTAGATCATGTGCTGCTTTGCTCCGTGTCGGATGTGTAGACTGTCTTGTCTGCGCTCTGCCGCGGTCTTGCTGCCCGTGCCGCTTGCTTTGAAGGTCGTCCTCGCTGCTCTGCTGCCTTGCCGCCTACCCACGGGTCGTGCCTCCCGTGTCTTTTGCTCGCGTGACTTGTGGTTTGGTAGCCTTGTGGCGGTGCCTCGCGCTTCGCTGCACGGTTGCTGAGCTGCTTGTCCGTGTGCCCTGTCGGCCTTCAGTGTCCTTTGCGTGCATGCCTTGTAGTTTGGTTGCCTTGTTGGTGGTGCCTTGTGCTTCACTGCACGATTGCCTAGCTGCTCGTCTGCTTGCTCTGTTGGCCTTCCGCGTCCTTTACTTGCTTGCGTGCCTTGTAGTCTGGTCGCCTTGCTGATGTTGCCTTGCGCGTCACTGCACGGTTGCCCAGCTGCTCGTCCGCTTGCCCTGTCGTTCCTTGCAGTCGTCTTTGGTGATAAGCAGTTGGGCTGCCTCTACTGTGTTGCCTGGTGCTCATTGCTGCCCGCTGCTATGTCCCGCTTGGGGACAGTCTGCCTTCAACATGGGTAAAAGGTTCATGACCCAAACCATCAAATACGGGGATTCCGCAGATTGTCGAGGGTTCAGCCTCCTGATGAGTCGGTGCAACTCCGACGAAACAATCTCATCATCATCAGTTTTTATTTATTTTTTTCGGTCTTTCGATTTGCTTGGGACTTGTATTTTTTTCGGTTTGCCTGCCCTGGTGTGTTTGTGTGCCGGTTTTGTGTGCTTGTTGTCTGCCCTCCCGCCTCCCCCGTGCCCTCCAGCCTGTGCCTTGATGTCTTTTTGCTTGCTTGGTGTTGGCATGCCCTGATGCTATTCTTGTCTGCCTGCTTGGCATCTTTTTGGGACTTTGCCTGCTGGTGTGCTTGCACGTTTTGGCACTTGGGAAAGCTGGTCACGGATAACCATGTTTGTACGAGGTAGCTCCAGTGAGTTCGCAGAGTGGCAGCATGCAGTGTTAGTTTGGTTGCGGCAGGGCGGGTTGTACCATGGGTTCCATGGGGTGCATGGCGAGTACGCCATGGGATATATTGGACACACACACACACACACACACACACATGCTGCCTGCTCCCGCTGCCTCCCTCGCTCCTGCTCCCTCCGCCTCCCACGATCCAGCTCCTGCTCTCGCTGCCTCCCCCGCTTCTGCTGCCTCCCCGCTTCCGCTCCCGCTGCGTCTCCCGCTCCCGCTGTCTCCCCCACTCCCGCTGCCTCCTCTGCTCCCTCACACTGCCACGCGCTGATGCGCACGGCTTTTTTCAACCAACCAACCAACCAACCAACCAACCAACCAACCGACCAACCGACCAACCGACCAACCGACCGACCGACCAACCAACCGACCGACCCAAACCAAACCCAACCGACCGACCCAAACCAAACCCAACCGACTGACCCAAACCAACCGAACCGACCGACCCAAACCAAACCAAACCAACCAACCAACCAACCGACCAACCCACCGACCGACCCAAACCAAACCGACCGACCCAAACCAAACCAACCAACCAACCAACCAACCAACCGACCCAAACCAAACCAACCAAACCAAACCTACCAACCAACCAACCGACCCAAACCAAACCTACCAACCCAAACCAAACCTACCAACCCAACCTACCAACCCAACCGACCAACCAAACCGACCAACCCAAACCGACCAACCCAAACCAACCAACCCAACCCAAACCACCCAACCCAAACCAACCCAACCCAAACCAACTCACCCAACCCAACCTACCCAAACCAACCCAACCAACCAACCAACCAAACCAACCAACCAACCAAACCAACCAACCAACCAACCAACCAAACCTTTTTTTTTTTTTTTTCAACTCGTTTTAATGTTTCTTATTTTAAAAAATCTAAGAACAAACCAAAAAAGAAAGAAAAGGGGTTGTAGAGCTATTTGTGCTCTACAACCCCGTATTTTTATTTATTTATTTATTTTTGTTTATTTTTCGGCAGCGTATGCAGTATAGTACGCTGAGTACGGCCTTAGTACAAACGGCCGTACAACCATTCGTACGGCAGTACGACAGAACCCCCATACGACGTACGGGGGAATACACAGCACCGCGATAATACCAGAAATCCGGACTGGGACTTTCTCTTTTTGGCAGTGGCAGCCTTTGCTCGACTGTTTGTCCGCAGAAGACTGTGCAGT